ATGAACTCCCTATCTAAGGGGTAGGGACATTCAAGGCACGGACTAACACAACCTCTGGAGTTAACCTCATTCAAGGGGCTATGAGGACAATCCCTATATTGATATAAATCCTTGGCATTTCCATTTTCAGTGCTCTGGGGGTAGAGGTGGTCCTACAGAGTCTGGAGTTGGCATCTCACAGTGTGTGCTCCTTAGAACAGTTACTGAAGAGCAATGTCAGGTTAAACTGCTTCAAAATTCCCTCTCCACCTATACATTACCAGTAGGCCCAACCTCCGAGAGCAGGGGAACTACAGAACTAGCTCAGAGGAGGGGTCACTGGTACGATACAACCCCCATTCCCCGCTTCAAGGTTTAGCAAGATAATGATTTGCTCCCCTGTGCAAAGAGCTTATACCCATCAGTGCGCAGCAGGGTAGGGCAGCACCTAAAGGCACCAAGAGGCAGACCACATTCCTGTACACAAGCTTTGATGAACCTGGGCATGTCTGCTCACTGCTTGATTGTATGTGCTTCAAGCTCCTGGGATGGACAGAGCCAGCAAAGATCAAAGGATTGAACCTGTGCCACTTAAACACAAATCTGGAGCAGAGTTTTCTAGAGCCAAATGCCCAATACCTACTCAGCCTGCTAAGTACCTTATGCTTCCTGCCAGCTGAGCACTTCTCATGCACCCTGCCAGCTGGGGGAGGAGCATGAACCAGGCTGGGCCTAAAGTGCCTTTCCTGGCTGAAAGTCACCTGCCCTGGCAGCCTGACTACTCAGAGAAGGAGAAAAGCTACCTCAGTCTGGGTTTCCACCACCAGCGCCACATCTTCAATGCGGATCCCAAACTCGCCGTCTTGGTAATACCCAGGTTCTATGAAGCAGAAAAGTGGGCACTGAATCCAGAACCAGAACAGCCCTGTCACTGTAGCTGTGGTCTCCCTCAAGGAGACTTCTACAGCCCCAGTCCCAGAGCAGTTATTTCCTATGAGCCCCTCTGCCCCACAAACACTCTTTTAGACAGAGCTCTGTACTCCAGGTCAGTGTCCTACACTATGTTCCAACCCAGCCTGGCAGGACTTGTGATGGTACCACAGCCCCATGCTCTTGGCCCTGGGCCAGGGGAGTCCCTGAAGAGTGATGTTTTTTGAAAGCCTAGAATCCTGCTCCACCAGAGCATGGGATGAAGTTGTGGGGGGGGGCACACGTACCTATGGAAGTGAACATCCCTGTGGTCAAGGGCACGTTGTTGGACTGAAATCCCACTGGCCCTGTAGGAGGGAGATGCCAAATTCAGTTTTTCATGAGTTTAGATCAGGAAAATCCCTGCAGGTGGGACCTTGGACACAAGGGGTTGGACCTTCTAGGTGCCTTGCACCAGGGCCCCTGCACTTAGCCTGCACTGTTACTGCTTGTGTACAAATCTCAGAGGGGCCCTGCAGGCCTTTGCCCTATGGAGCTCCTAACAATTCCCTCAGCAGTGCCCCCTAGCAGCAGCAGCTCACACCTTGCTGGGCCCTGTTGGTGACCAGACACATGAGGAAAGGTTACCAGGGTCCCTGGGGACCTGATGAATTAGTGTTGGGGGTGTGATGAGGGTCGATGTGGGGAAAGGGGGTCTATCTGCTAATGGGGAGCAAGAATTTTTGCTGGATAAGTGATGTTGCTGTAAGTTATAGGTGGTGGCACAGCAAGGGAGTGGGGTAGAGATGGGGGCATGGAGCACATGGTTTAGCACCCCTGAGCCAGCCTAGTCTGAATACCAGGTAGGTGGGCAGGAAGGGAAGAACCAAGAGTAAAACAGAGTCCTGTGGGACTTCTCCTAGGACCAAGCTAATGGGAGAGCACTCACACTCATGAACAGACAGGAAATTGCCGATGCCGTGGCCAGTCCCGTGGCCATAGTTGAGCCCAACCTCCCATAACGCCCGGCGAGCAAAGGCCTCAATCATTCGCCCTGCAACACAATGCCAAGAGCTATAAAGAAAAGCAGAGGAATGAATGTGTTCCCTACCTGGGCCTGGTCTGTGGGAGCTTCATCTACCTCTGTTCCTTCCATGGGCTCACACACTGAGTGCTGGCCTCAGAAGTGAAAGGAGGGGCAGGCTGATGGCTGGGCTGGAGCAGTCACAGCTGCCAGGACCCTTGGGTTCTATTCCTGGCTCTGGTTATGTCTGCATGCCCCTGGCCAATGCACTGGCCTTCTGTGTACCTCAGTGCACCCCTCTGCAACTTGTGATAAGGGCACCCGTCTTTGTAAATGCTTTGAAACACTAAGATGGCAGCTAAGTTGCTGGGTCTGGGCTGGGTATGAGCTGACTGAGGATGCCCTCACCTCTGGCCAGAGGCAGGAATCACATACGAGGTGCAGAGACTCATCCAACTCAGGATACTCCCTCGATTATAGCCTTGAATTGACAGTCACACATTTTTGCTGATCTGGACAGTGACTGGCTGCGCATGGTGACATTTGAGCTAAGGGGACCCAGCTTTCCCCTCTTCCTGTGCCTCTCCTGAAAAGGGACTGCTGGGACAGAGCAGGTCTGACTGGGAATGCCCCCTGGGAGAAGGGAGGCTGGCTGCATCCCCCCCTCCCCCTCCCCCTCCCCTTCCCATGGCACTGAGCCCCTACAGAGGACACTGGGGCAAGCAAAGCTGGGATAGGAACTGAGGAGTCCCTAGCCCAGGCCAGGGGCAGGACTTTCAGGCATCTTCCTGCCTGGGAAGTGCTTCCTCTGTCCTGCAGGCTCTCACAGCCTTTGTTCTCCACACATGGGCCAGGCAGCAGCATGCCCTCACAGCAAAGCTGGGCTTGTGCAGCACCTACCTGATGTACCAGAAGGGAAGACAAGTCTGGACAGCTCAATATTTCCCATCAACACTCGCGTATACGCTTCCTGTGGGGCACAGAAAGTGAGGCTCAGACTGTGCTCCCAGCAGGGCTGTGCAGAGAGCACATCCCTCCTGGGAAGCCTGCCCACATACATGTGCTGAGTGTGACTACAGCAGTCACTAGCCTCTAGCCTCTTGTATGGAGCAAGCATGGCTCAGCTGTGTGTCATGGGGCCTCAGGACTAGCAGCTAATGGCGATTCCCTTCCAGTGACAGCAGCGGGGCCTGTGCCCTGGGGCATAGGCTAGAGGCTCTGTCTGAGCTGTGCCCATGAAGGCCCCAAGCCTGTAGCTGACAGCATCTCCATGACCTTGACGCTCCAGCTGACCGAGGTCTGAGCTCCCTAGTCACTCCCCTGTCTGAGTGACCTGCTGCCTCTGGCTCCTGTTGGGGTAGTGCCCAGGAGCTGGAGGCCACCTTGTACTGAGAAGAAGATAAAGAGCACCTGCTTCCTAATATCAGCCAGAAGCACAGTGCCCCCCTGCCTCCGCCCAAATTGGACACCATCCCAGGGCAGCTGCAGGCAGAGCATGCTGAAGGGCAAGGGGTCATGCTAGGACTGAGCCGTACCTTCTGGAAAGGGGTGGGAGCCCCCCAGTGGACAGTCCGGGTTATATCCGTTGTTCCATCCCTGCAGCAAAATGAGCTGGGTGAGCGGCAGCCCAGGAAACACTTGGGGACCTTTGCTGCAAGCTGTGGGAACCGGTCACCCACAGCATGCTGGGCCCACTCACCTGGGGAAGCACAGAGGTCACCTGCTCTCTGTGAGGCTGGAGCAGGTCTGGGCTGGATGTGCCCAGGGGCATATGTGACTGGTAGGGGGTGCACGGGGGTGCACATGCCCCCCCCGATGGGCTCGGTGCCCCCCCTGACGGCCAACACTGATGCTGTCAGTAAGGCTGGTGTCCCCCCTGACAGCCATTGGCAACTTCTGCGGGTGCTCCCCACAGATTCAGGAGGCACCAGTCACTCATGCCTGCGGGAATGTGGTCAGGACAGCGCCACGGTGTGCCCATTTCTGGGCACCTTTGGGGATGTTTGGGACAGGATTGGGGGGAGGTGGGGGGAGGAAGCTGAGACGACATACAGGAGCCAGCTGCAGGGGCAAGTGGGAGGCATACTTACAGATATTGCCCTCCGGAGTCCGTCAGGTACATTTCATCCACCGACAGCTTCCGGCTGCTGACATTGGAGGGACTAGAAGGAAGAAAGTCCAGAGGATTAGGGATGGAGCTAACCCCTTCCCCCCTCCCTGGGACATGCAGCAGGCTCCGGCTCACACTCACTCACATGCAGGCCAGCAGTAGAACCTGAGGTGCAAGTGAACAATAGAGCCCTGTGGGCCAAGCACCCCCATCTTCCCCTGTCCCAAGAGACCCCCTCCTGCAGGTATACATGCCTCCTTCCTGCGCATCCCCAGCCCATGTCTTCCCTCCCTCCCTACCTGCCCACATCAGCTGTAAAGCAGCAGGACTGCCCTCCACACTCCCTGTGCTGTAGAAGACTAGGGAAACATGTAGACAGGGTCCAGCACAGAGGACAGCTCTGGGCTCACTGGGCCATGGCTCAGGAAAGAGCCCTGGCTGCCCAAAGAGCAGGGCCAGGATCTCTGGAGCCCTCACTCCTGGAATCCCAATGTGTGGCCATCCCCTGTGCAGAGCACCCAAATTGTGAGCCTGCCCTATGAATACCTGTAGTGGGCAAGTGCAGCATTGAGCCCACTGGCAGAGATGGTTTCAAAGCTGGGCCCCCGCCAGTGGTCCATCTTTCTACAAGGGAAGAGAGAGGTGCTGTGTGAGGCAGCCCCCAGCTGGTAGGTAGGGAGGAGTGGGGATGGTGAGCTAGGATAGCCCTGGGCTGCAGGCCTGCAGCTCACTCCACCCCCACCAGGTGGCACTGCTGGTCTCCACAACGTGGGCTGGAGGGACCACAGCCACAGGGAGGTTGATAGCAGCATTCCAGGGTACATGATCACATCTGTACTTGATTTTAGATACCAGCCTGCCCCACCCTTACTCAGCACCAGGGGGACCCGGGCTATGCCAGACTCCCTCCCCCTGTGGCCACGCCTACTTATGGAGAGTGGCACAGTGCACAGGAGTCCCTGGTCATTGAGGGCTGTGCTAGAGAGAAAGCTGAACCAGGGCCCAGCCCCTCACATGGTGCCATATGCAAGGGAATAGGGCAGGTGAGGACAGGATGGAGCCTGGTAGGGTCTGCCCTTATACTGACTGTCGTAGCTGGTTCACATAGTGTGCTCCGGAGAATTCATTCACTGATCCCAGTGGCACATTCTTCTCCAGCCAATGCAGGTACTGGATCACTGCCACGGCGTCCCGCACCTGGGGAGAGCTTGCTGGCAGTCACAGGACAGAGCAAGGCCAAGCTGGGCATTGGGAATTGGGGCTCATACAGGGTGCAGTTTCCCAGCTTCCCCTGCATGGTCAAGTGCAAGTGGTGATTGTGGATGGCCCATTGCACCTTGGTGGTATACCAGCGCCCAGACAACCTGCGCTCTGGCAGCTGGTGCTAAGAGCTGACAGAGGAGTGCTGCACCTGAGAATAACCCTGCGATTTGCCCTGCTTAGGGCAGAGGGAATGGAGCCCCACACTGCTTTCTGAAATTAATGCCATTTCCAAAGCACCCAGGTGCCACACTGGAGGCACCCATAGCACCCACACCACGCATTTCCCACAGCCACAGGCCTGCCCCTTCCATGAACAGAAGCCCCCTCCATTTGTTGACAGTGTCCTTGGCCCAACCTACTGAAGAATGAAGGCTCAGGCCAGACACTCACATGAGCTGCTTTAAGAAGTCCTTGCTCCTTGGTGTTCTTCACTGCCTTGGTGGTCATTACTGGGGAATAGCTTTCCTGCAAGCGCTTCTCCTGTGAGTGGGGATAGTTGTGTCATGCCATCTGGGGAGCAGAACTATGCCAGCACCCTTACTAGGACTGGGTTCTCTGTGCAAGGGAGCTCCATGCAGCTACTAGATGGGCCAGGTGTTGTCTATGCACCTAGCAGGGAGTGGCCAAGAGCACAGTTCTATGCATGAGATGTTCCCCCCAGCAGTCAGACCCATTAGCTTGTGATATCAGCAGCTGCATAATCCAGATGCAGGAGTGTTTTACCTCCCTCTGCTCAACATGGGGCAGATCAGAGCCTATGGCCTACCAAGGCATGTAGGCGTACCTCAGCAGTGGGGAGAATAGCTGCAGGGCACCCAGAAAGGCCATCGGGCAGGGGTCATCTCCACTGCCTCCCATTGCTACACTCCCTGATCATGCAAGTCCCATTTTCACCATCCCCTGCTCATGTTTATTTGACTTATATGCTGCCCTCCCTGCAAAAAGGCTCAGGGTGGCTATTGATACTACCCCCTGCCACAGGCAGAGACTCCTCCTGTGGACCAAGGCCTCTGAGGTCCTTTGCCCCTTTGTCTGAACCTGTGTGGACAATGCCCACCATAGGCTCCTCCAGACCCTCACATAGACAGGACTCGCTCAAGCCCTTCACAGCCTTGGGCAGGGTCTGAGTGTCCTGGAGACATCACAAAGAAGATGTGATGGTAGCCTCATCCCTTTTACCGCAGTGGGGTTCTGCAATCTGCCAGTGGTGCCTCTTACCTCAGGGATCACTCTAAAGAGCCCATAGGTGGTGTACTCAGTGCCAATCCAAACTTGGATGTCTCCCTGGACATAGTTCTCCAGATGGGCCTTCACCTGGTTGTAGTCCTCAAGGTGTACACACAGTGGCCCTGGGCATCCTGCTGTCAGGGACTGAAGGGCATCTTGGGTCAAGCGGCTCTGGTTCAGAAACAGGCTAGGAGCAAGAAAGGGGATGGGATTGAGTTGCAGTCACCTGCACAGTTTGGCAAGAAGCTGGCAGGAGGTGCAGGCAAGGAGCCAGTACATAGCAGATGGAGCAGGGAAGGGACTGCCATGCTGGGAAGAGAGGTCAGAGGAGACAGGGAGCCCCAGAGGCATCCTTGGGTCCAGAAGGGATGGGGAACTGAGGGGTCATGCCAGGGTCCAGAGGTGGGAGCTAGGGGGTCATACCGGGGTCTGGAGAGGATTGGGGAGCTGGTCCAGTCCTTCAAGACTGGAAATCCTTCTTACCTGATATTTGATTTGGTCAGCAGGGCATAGGAGTAGAACACGGGGTTGTAGGGAATGTCATCTCCTCGTAGGTTAAAGAGCCCTGCAAGAAAGAAGGCATTAGAGATGGGTGAGCTAAGCTGCGTGTGTCTGACCCTCTTGCCCTATCCTGCTTCTCATAGATTGCATGGTGGATTGGCAGAGGTTGTGCCAGACATGAGGTTAGCTGGACACTGGCTTTCCTTTCATGTTTGATCAATGCCCAGAGCCATGGGCTCTGACATCCCATGCTGGGCTTTAGGTGCCACTATAGCAATGATCAACTATCTCATGTTGGCTCCCTGGGGTTGGGGGAGTGATAAGAAGGCTGGCTAGCCTGCATGGCTCAGTGGCATTTGGGTTGTGGATAGTTGAGAGGCCACTGCTGGGAGATGGTGAGGGATATTGTAGACACCAGGTGAGGATGCAGTGGAAGGAATATGTGGATCCCCTGTACTCACAGGCTGTCTCCTCCAGGCCAGAGAGCAGCACTGCTGTGGGGCTCTTGGAATGCTTCTCCATTTGGGTTCGGATGTCAGAAACTTTGTTCTGCCAGGTGTTCCCTGAAAGAAAAGCAAGAGACAGGCACAGTTCAGATGAATGCCCAGAGTCTTGGGCTAGCAGGACTCAGTCCAGGATGGAAAGCCTAGCACTGAGACTGGGGAGGAATCTGATCCAGCTGTAGTTCTTGCTGCAGCTGCTCAGCACTTCCATGGAGGTGAGATGACTGGTAGCAGCTCTGGCACTGAAGGAGCGGGTGGATGAGCTGGTCCTTGTAGATGGCCTCCCCTGTGCTTGTGGGAAACCATCTACCCTGTGATCCAGCCCATCTGCACTTACATCTTGTTAACCTATGTCTTAAACATCTGGAGACCAAGGCTCCTGGCAATGCAGGCAGTCGAGCTGTGTGTGTGATGCTCAGCAACATCTGCTTCTGATCAAGAGTTGTCAAAGCCTGGATGCTAGTGCAGACCCCATGGTAAAGCTGGCACATGGCTCTGTGAATGCACTAAGACTCCTGTGGTCAAGAAGGGGTGAGGGCTTACCAGTGAACTCATCCGAGAGGGCATAGATACTGTGGGTGGGTGGAGGGGGCTTCTGGGCATCCCAGACAAGGTCCACTAGGTTGGTTTCAATGGGAATCAGGTTCCTGCCCGAATTCTGCAGAGCCTGGCAGTAACTCTCCCAGTTATCTGAGGAAGCAGTGCAGTCAGCAGTTAGGTACAAAGCGACAACTCTATGATCCACCCTCCTAACATTTCCACACTTTCCCACCATCAGGATCACCCCAGCCAAAGGTCAGAGCAATGGCAACTGGTCTGCTGTGTAGTCTTTCCCACCCCTCCACCGAGAAAGGGCCCATAAGGTCACTGTCAGAGGAATGGGAGTCTCTCAGACTTCCCCACCTGCCAGCAATGATCCATTAACAGGGTGGGAGGACAGAGCAGGGGGACTGGAAAAGCCATGTAGAGGTGGGGAAATACCAATGGAAAAGAGGAAGGGGTCCAAGCCAATGTTCTTCCCAGCTGGAACTTCCTGGAGAATCCACTCCCCAATAGAATGGATCCAAACTGTAAGACAAAACAGAGCATCACAGTGGTACCCTTGCCCTGTGGGCAGTCCAAGGTCAGGATTAGCTGCAAGGGAAGGGGGAGCTGGTGCTTGTAGCAACAGCTTGGGTAATAGCAGGGGCCAGGAGAGCAGCTAAGAAAAGGCAGGCTCAGAGCCAGGCTCCCAGACTCAGTGCCACACCTGCAGTCATATGCTATCGGGGGTGGGGGCTTATGGCAGAACATGGGGCTGCTGAGAGCAGTGGCACTCAGGGTTCCCCTGGGATAGGACCAGACTTCAAATCTGGGGCAGCAGCTGGGCACAGGAAAGTCTTTAGGGCCTGGAATCAGTGTTCACTCAGTGAGGTTGTGGGATTGGAATGGGCAGGAGAGGCCAGGCCCAAGAAGGTCTCCAAGTGCACTCTGCCTACTGACCTGTCTTCTGAAGCTCCCAACTACAATCCATCTGGCGTTCAGCCTGGATCCAATAGCGACTGTCAGTCCACAGAGTTGCTTTGTCCAGAGTCACCACCCCAGTTCCTCAGACACAGAAGAAGAGAAGCTAAGCACTGGGTTTCCCCTCTCTGTGGGCCTGCCCTGGGTCCTTCTGTGCATGTGTGCAGACATATCTGATTGTCCTGTCTCTTCCCATTGCCATGAGACGCAATGAGTGATTCAGGTCCTCACAGAACACACTGGCCTGTAGGGCTCCTGGCTTTGGACCCCCCATGGTCAAAGTGGTGCCACCACATCAGAGCAGCAGAGAACCAGGACAGGCAGCTTGCAGAATCCTACATCCTCCAGGCAGACCCACAGACATAGGCAGATGAATGTACCGGCCAGCTGGGCACGAGCCCAGCAGCCCCTACCGATCTGGGGCCCTGGCCCTGGGATCCTCATCAGCAGGGAAGTGGAAGCAGCAGTTTTAAACTCCGAGTCCATCTTTAGCGCCCAGTTTAAAACTGCGGCTTTCACATTTGCTTCCCAGGGAGCTGGAAGCAGGGGTGGGAGGTTGTCCACCAATGGGGCTGAGGGGATGGGGAGCAGGGCTGGGGTCCGGCCAGGAGAGCCACGCTGAGCCTGGGGGAGGGGAGGGGAGCAGGCAGGTGGCCCCGTGTCTGGAGGGGAGGGGGCCAAGCCAGGCCAGGCTGGGAGAGCCCTGCCCTACCTGGTGGGGGGTGCGTAGGGCCGGGCTGCCCAGGCCAGGAGCACTGCGTCTTTGCAGGCAGCGGTGCTTTGTGGGTCTTGGGGCCTATAGCCCCCCCAAATTCAACTTAGCACTCCCGCAGCCACCCCTCCCCGTGCCGCCGTGGCCCACAGCAGCTCCCTGCAGGTCAGTGTAACAGGGTGCAAGCCACAGGCGGGGTTAGGCGGGGGGAGAGGAGGCTACCTTAATGTGACCAAGAGTGGGGGAGGGGGAGGTCTTGTGTGGGGAAAGTGTGTGTGGGGCTGTTTTTGTGGGTCTGTGTGTGGGTGTCTGTAGGTCTGTGTGTGTGTGGGTCTGTGCCCATGTGCAAAGAGCGAGAGTAGAGTGCACACACCTGTGTCTGTGTGTGCATGTGCGCACGCGTCTGTGTGTGTGTGTGTGTGTATCAGCCATAGTGGGGCCTGGGAGCAGGAAGAAGAGGCGACCATGCGCCCCCCAGTCCAACGGGGTCCACCCAGTCTCACCCAGCACTAGGAGGGGAAGGGGCCCCTCTCCCCGCCCTCCCCCTGCAGCCCAGCTCCCATGGGGGGAGGGGGCCTCCAATTCTGTGCTTGTCCAGGGCCCCAGTGCACCTTAATCTGCCTTTGCCCACAGAGAACTCAGTTCTCCACTTGGCCAGGCCCGCAGAGGTACAGCTGATGGCAGGAGGCCCCCTTATGTCCAGAAACATGTGGACTGGCTTCTCCTTTCAGCACCTTGGACTTCTCTGTGCCTTGTAAAGCAAGGTGGCCAAAAATGCCCAGATGTCCTGGTCCACAGGCATTCCCCCCTGTCCTTTCACCCCAGCTTAGAGCGAAAAAGGAGAAATCTCAGAGTTTTCCACAAAATAAAAATATTCTGGCATATTCCGTATAATGCCATCCCTGGGTGATGTTACATGGACCACATCATGACATGGCTCAGCTTCACTAAAGCAGCATTTTCTGGCCACCACTTTAGAGTAACTCTGCTTGCAACTCTGATCCTCTCCTGGCCGCTTCCTGCCCCCAAGAAAGAGGCTTACAGTGCAGCCCCAGGGAGCTCCCTCACAGAGGGACCCCATGCAGAAAGGTAGCCTCTGTCTCTGCCCTGCTGACTGGGAAAGAGGCACACAGGTCTGCATGTTGTTACAGGGGTATGCTCCTCCAACTCCAGCCCTGCCTGCTCTTCTCATGCTGTACAGCAGAGGTGGGCAAAAGATGGGCCAGATTTGGCCTGCCAAGAGATTTTATCTGGCCCGTGGTGGGCCCCTTGGTCCCACCTCAGCCCAGGCAAGGGAGGCAGCCTGAGCCATGGCACATGCGGGCAGTCCTGCCTCCCCCAGATGCGCCGTGGGGCTATGGTGGCACAGCAGCCAGACTTGCTTCCCAGCAGCCCCAGTGGTGGTGGCTCCTTTTAGCTGCTGCTGCCAGACCTGGTCCCACTCCTTGAGCACCCCTGCTGGTCTACCCTGCACTTACCACCGGGCAGGACCTACACAAGCAGAACACGCAGCCAGCTGAATGGGATGGGGCTGCGGGCAGGTGGGGGAGTGGTGTTCGGGAGTGGGATGGGCAGGCAAGGCCAGGCAGGATCACAGGCTGGGATCTTGTAGTGGTGACAGCACGGGGCCAGAGCAGAGCCACGAGCCACTCCCTGCACACCCCTGCCACGCGTGCAGGTTCTATGGGCGGGGGCATGCAGGGAGCAGATCACGGCTCTGTCCTGGCCCCAGGTCTGGCCCCACACTATCACCACCCCAAAATCCTGGACCCAGCCCCAAGTGCAACCCCACACTGCCTGCGGTACCATCACGTCCTCCTGGCCATGCACCCTGCCCATGTGGGTCCTGGTCAGTCCCCATGGAGACCCTGGGAACAAGAAGCAGTGACAGCGAGGGGGCAGCAGATCATGGCTTTGCTCTGCACTCAGCCAGGATGGGGCCGGGGCTGGGATCCAGGGAAGCAGCATCCAGAAGTGGCACAGGTGGGTGGGCAGGACTGGGGTTGGGATTGTGGCGCCCTGGGCCCATGCTGTCACCACCCTGCAATCCTGGTGTCTCCATGGAGACCAGCCGGGACTCATGGCCAGGCGGATGGGATGGTGCATTTAGGGAATTTTGGTGAGTGGCTGTGCAGAGTGTGTGGGGAACACGCTGACCCAGTCCACAACAGCTCACTAAAACTCCCTATGTGGCCCACAAACCCAAAAAATTGCCCACCCCTGCTATACTGTCAGGCAGACAGTGTGGGCCCTGACTCCTTTCTGCCTTGGACCTGTGGCTGGCATCCACCTGCAAATCAAAAGAAAAGTCTATGTTCCCCAGGGAGAAGGCCATGTTTAGAGCAGGTGCTGTGGGATCGTCTTTTCCAGGCATGCCAGAAGGGACCATCCCAATGGGAAGAGCTCCCAGAGTGTGATAGGATGTCTGGGAGACTGGACTGAAACAGCAGAGCAAGCAGGCAGTGGGGATATGTTCTCACCTGCAGATCCTGTAAAGCCTGTCATCCATGCCAACCGGGCATCCTGCTCAGCTATGTACTCGCTCTGAGAGACAGAGAAAGCCCATGACTACTGGCATCCCTCTCCCCACACACGGTTACCCCTGCCATTGCCTGTACATGAACAGGGCGAGAGATAAAGAGCTGTAACTCTGGCAGGCAGTCATTGCCCAAGGGAGCCTTCTCCAGGCAGCCTGGCTCACAGTGTCCTCCAAAGAGGTAGAAAGCAAGGATTAGGCAATGGGAAGTAGAGACAGGGTTGGGCAGGGGGCGGTGTTTGGTTTGCAGGCATTTGGCAGTGAGCTACTGATTTCTCTGCAGGTGTGGCACCACAGATCTGAGCCACAGCCTGGTCACTGTGCAAGGTGTGGGGTGCAGTGGCATCCAGGGAGTGAAGGTGAGAGAGGTCTTGGGTGGAACAGACACAGCTCTGGGCTTACCATGTGGGCATCAGTGGCTGGAACAATGTAGGCACTGACGTTGTAGACTCGCATGTGTTGACGCAGGGCCTGGAGTCGCTCAGCTGTGTTTGTCACTGTGGAAGGCAGGTACTGAGGTCACAGGGAAACACAGGTTAATGAAGGGTCCAGGGCTCGGGGGCAGATCTCTACCCCCCCACCTCCAGAGAGCACCTGCTCAGTTAATGTGGGCAGCCAGCTGTCCCACGGGATTGCTCTGTTCTGCTTCATAGCTGTGTGACATGGCCACACACACACACACCTCCCAACAGGGCTGTCCTGAAATTAAAGGGCTGGTCTGCACAGTGCCCTTAGGGACTCTTTTGGGCCCTGCCTGAGCCAGGACATAGACTCTTCTTGGAGCACTATGGAAACAGACTTAGTGTTGTGCCACATACCTGTCTATGCTGAGCATTTGGTTTGCCTCCTCCCCAGCCCTTTAGCTAGGAGCCTGATGGGTGTTCCTTGGCTATACTGACCAAGGCATGGAGATGGCAGCTGTGTTTGGAGAAGAGACCCAAGTAACACAAAGGTTAGTAGAGAGCAGGGAGGAAGCAAGAGAACCCAAAGTTTGTGCTGAAAAGAATGGCGCGGGGGGGATTCAGGGCTGCCTAGAGCTGCAGATGGGACATGCACATTTCCAGACGTTCTCTGGGATGCCAGGAAGGTTCTCACCGGAGGGACTGTGGTGCAGTTTCTGACATCACTTCCTGCAGAGCGGGTTTGCTTTGACTGTCCAAGGGTGCAGCCTGGAAGCAAGGGGGAGAGCAATAATTATACAGATGCCTACCACATTGTCAGGTTATAAGCACTGCTGTACCAGACACCCTGCTTCCCCTGAGGTGCCATCATGGCCTGGCTCCCAGCAGCATACCAAGCATGAGCCAGTGGCCCCATTCAGCCTCCTGACCAGGGTACAGAGGGCTCCAAAGGCCATGTAGAGACACAGGGATGCCAGAATTTTAACAAAGCACTGGCAGAGTCCAGAGTCATGAATCAGGACTTGTTTCCAGATCATCTGGTACTCAGATTGTGAGTGTGTGACCCCAACCTGCCCTTGGTACTAGGCCAAAATAGCTAACTCTCCTGTGAGGTGGAGGTGTTCACAAAGCTCCAACCCCTTGGAGGCCAATAAACCTGGGTTGTGCAGAAAACTATGACAGCCCAACCCCCCACATAGCCACCTGATAGCACAGCCCCTGCACTGCTGCCTGACAGCATGGCTGCCAGACATCACAATCCCTACACAGCTGCCTGACAGCGTAGCCCCTGCATGGCTGCCTGACAGCATGACTTCCTGACAGTGCCATCCTCACATACCCAGCTGACATCACAGCCCTGACACAACTGCCTGAAAGCAGCTGCTTGAAGGATCAGCAGTAAGATGGCAAAAACACCCAAAACCTATGTTTATTTTTCTCTTAATGTAATGATTGTTGCAACAATCTTATGATTTTGGGTGCTTTGGCCTGGCCATGATGCAAGCTAGGACCTTGTCTGAAGTTTGATCAGTCTAATCCCCACTCCACACAGACCAGCAACAGCCTCAGGCTTCATTGGCTTCCCTGTCCTGATGCTGTGCAGAGATAAAGAACATATGACATCAGCTGCAGAAAGACACGCAGGCCTGTGGGAGAGCACTTCAACCTCCCTGGACACTCCACTGCTGACTTCAGGATTGATGTTCTCAGGCAGAAAAAAATTAAAAGCCAGTTTGAACAGAAAGTTGCAGAACATGAAATCATCCACAGACTGGACTGTCCAAAGTATGGTCTAAACAGGGAATATGGATTCTTATCCCATTCCCTGGATTAGTTTTTGTGACCCTTTGTTTGTATGGGTTCTTTGCTTGTATGCTTCTCCTAGCATTCCCCACCCTCACCCTCCTGCTTTCCTACCTGTTGTATTCTAATCACTCACTCCACTTTATATTCTCCTTTCTGCACATCTTCCACAGCATCTGATGAAGTGAATTTTGGGTTCCCAAAAGCTTGTGCTCTCTCTATATAGCTTAGCATTAGTCTATAAAGGTGCATATCTACCCTGCCTTCAAACAGGCCCAAATTTGGACTGCAGCAAATGGCAGTGAGAAAACAGGGTGCAGGGTTCAGGCCCACGGAGGTTGCCCCAGGGATGGAGCATGTTGTGAGCCAGGCAATAGCCTGGGTTCTGCCCAGATTCACCTTTCAGTTGCTTGGCTTCTATCTTGTACAGGCTATAGCTATTTAAATGTGATGTCACTCGGGATGTGGGTAAGCTTTGCCTGCATCAGGCAAGTGAACCAGCATGCAGGTAGCACACAAATTATGTAGGGTGTCAGAAATGAGTGTCTGCACACTCACACATATGTTTGTGTGTGCATGTGTATGGTGTGCATGTGTGTGTACTGTATTAATATTTCTCCCTTGCACAGAAAATGGGGTGAGTGTGATCAGGCTCCCACAGGACAGGAAAGGTTAATGACAGGCTATGGGCTCATTCAATCCTCCTTCCTTGCAATGTATCAGGCCTGCAGAGAGGGAAGGAAGAAGGCAGAGCCAGGTCAGCAGGTGGCTGAGGAAAGAAAGCAGATGACCAGCGCTTTTCCTGTGAGGGGAGGATGAGCTGGTGGCAGGAGTCGCTTATATGATGGCTGCCTGTGGGAACTCCTCTGAGGTAGAGAAGAGCTGATAAGGAATTAGCTTGTGACAGTCAAAGCGGTGACCCACTAACCAAAGCCCTTCAGTTACTCTGTACTTAACTGAGGGAAGTTGGGACCCAGAGGACAGGACCCAAGCAATGTAGGCTCTCCCCAGTGAAGGCCAGAGCTTACTGCAACTGAGTTGCCACCCTGGGTGGAGTGGGAACGCAGAGGGGCAGGACGGCATACTGAGAATGGCTCCGAGAATCCCCACGCTGGGGAGCCCCATCACTAAGAGAGTCTAGCAGCTACCCTTCCAGCACTGCTTGTCCTTGTCTCTTCCTCCATGTTACTCTGTAAGTGGCAAAGAAAGAGCCCTAGTTCCTAAAGCCATGGGGATTCCCATTATTGCTGGGATGCAGAAACCACTCCGAGTGACCAGGAATCTGCTGTAAACTCAGCACAGAGCAGCACTTTCAGTAAAACTTTCAGTCTCATCTCCAAGGCATGTCAATCAGCAGGGGTGGAAGTGCCACGGCTGGGCAAGAGAGAGCATTCTTGCAGTCCCAGGGAGACAGCAGAGCTATTTGCAGCCTTTGGAAGGCAATAAATTGGAAACAGGAGTTAGGCCAATGCTCCATGTTTCTAAGTTTGTCATCTCTCATCCAAGGAACACAAACAATGCACCCGTGGGCTCAGGACAGCAGGATCAGAGTAAAGGAACCCTCTGCCACAAGGGGACAACAAGAGAGAAGGGCAGCAGAGGCCCAGGGCACACTCATGGACTGTAACAATGCCTGGGACCTCCCTCTGTGGCAGTCTCATGATTTCCCTCTGTAGCAAGTATCTGAGTACCATAGATGTCAGCAGCACCAGGCCCCACTCTGAGACTGACCCTGCTCCTCATTATGTTTCCTTGGGCTTGTCAGGAGAAAAGTCAGGCTTGACTGCTGCCTTGTTGCTCTCATGAGCCTGAGCCTAAGGCTCAGGGAGGGGTGGGGTGGCCAAGGATGGTTCGTTGCAGCCTCTTTCTAGGGGGGCTGTGGAGCAGCAGGAGGTAGCTGGGGTAGTTCTACTGACCCCAAGTTTACTCCCACTCCATGCCCTACAAACCTAGGAGCATGCCACTCCCCCATCCCATGCTCTCTGACAGGCTGGTGGAGCATGGCTCCCATCTGCTGACTCCTACAACCCTTAAACCAAGGGAATTACTGACTAGAAGCTGGAGGGGTATGTGGATAAGGTTCACAGCCCAAATATAGTGAGTTTAGATCAAAACCCAGCAAAAGTGATATAGAAATTCTAACACAACCAACAATAAGCCAGGCCATTCAGAGCAAAGGTGTCGCCTACAGAGATCCAAGCATATGACAGTATGGAATTCAGCTTAGAAACACAGGCCCCCTTAATTCTGCCTTTGTAGAGCTATCCCTATGTACTCAGAAGCTGAGATCATTTTAAACATTCCCAGTACACGGGTGCTTCGTATCTGTGACCAGAAACTGAGCACACCCCAGTTGTGATCTGCAGACTACAGATCAGCCCCATCACTGCCCACTGATGGCATCTGTCCTCTTATTCATCAAGAGCATAGCCTGCTGCTGAGACGCTGTTCGACGTTTTGCAGAATGGGGCCCTCTACCAGATCTGGCTCCTACATTACCAAGTACCAAGGTGCTTTCCTGTGTAGTTCTTGGATGAATCTCTCCTTCCAGAATATGAATGATTTTGCTTTTTCCTGGTGTTGCCTTCTCCAATTTAACTGTGGCATGATCTGCAGCCCTTGGCTCTCAGTCCACTTGCACAGCTGCCCAGAGGGGCTCTGATCTTCCCAGCAAAAATCTGGGCTGCCCTGTCTAGTGCTTGGGAGCTTTAAACTCATATCATACTGCCAGAGTCTGTCTTGCTGCTGGCTGGGGGGTTGCAAGTCAGTACCCAGAGGTGGGCTGAGTCCCCAAATCAGGCAGAAGAGCACCCCCAGACACAGGGGATGGAGTTAAAGGGGGCAGCCACTCTTGCTCTCAAAGAAGAGAACCATGCTCATTTTCTCTGGCATGCAGAACAAAAGAACTTGCCTTAATTTAACCTGAAACTTCCAACTCTGCCCTGAGTCCTAATGGAAACCATAGAACTGCTTTTGTGAGGAACCAGCCACCAGAAAGTGAAGAGAAAGCCATGGGTTCGGCCTCCAAGTACACAAGCACTCAGAAACCAAGGAGGTGGGTGACGAGTTGGCCAGAGGCTAGCAGCCCAAAGTCTAGCTTTCACCTACCTTTCCACCAAGCCCAGACTATCTGTCTAAGCCAGTACCATCTGAACGAAAAGCCTCACCAACATACCAAGAAAGAGAAGCATCCAGACCCATGAGGTGCAGAGGGAAAAAGACATGTTTCTTCAGAAGCCTGGAGACTCCTTTCAGATGGGAGCAGAGGGAGCGAGAGGAAAGTTTCAGTCCAGGGTGGGGCTTTTATCTCTCACTGCCCTCCTCCTGTAGGTGTACCTGCTAGGTAGCAGCTGCTCTGTTGGCAGCAGGTAAGGGCTCTGCTTCAGATCCTGTGTACTTCCTGTATCCTGAAATTCAGAGCCTGTCACTAGATAAAGCAAATAGTTAACACACCACAGGATGTGAGACCCAAAGTCCAAAGATCCTCCCCAAGGCAGAGCAAGGACCAATCAGCAGAGAAGCAGCTGTCCCTGGCCTCTCAGCCTGGGCCCTCCCTTTGGCACATCTTGGCTGGGGCAGAGGATTAAAAGTAATGCTAAAAGAAGACACTGTGCTTGTGCCCTGGTTTGCTTCTGCAGAGTCATTAGCTGGGACCTGAAGGAAACATTTCCTAAGGGGAGTTTTTGCCAGCATGTGTTAGATGGATCAGGGCCAAGGTGTCTCTCTGAAGCCCTAGCAAGCTGGTGCAGGGCTATCCTCTGCCCCCACTGGGGAGGGTGTTAGTTGCAATCCTTTATAATCCTCAGAGCTGGGCCAAGATGGGTTGACAAAACTACAGTGTGCTGAACAGTCTAAAACCTTCTCCCCACTCAGATACCCAAGAACCAAGGCTCAGGCACCTAACCCTGCAAGCTCCCCAGCCAGTTGCAAGCTTCCAGAAAAGATGAGATGAGACCCAAATTGATCATTGTGTAAAAGCCAAGCATTGGACAAGCAGCTGCTTTGGATGCTCTCTTCCTGAGTCATTAAGCAATAACCAAGGTTACAAAGGTCACTTGGCTTCAATCAGAAGGAGGTCACAGAATTGGGCTCTGAAATTAAGGAGCATTGGGAACAGTTGGATCTGGTCTCCTGGCCAGGTGGGGTAGGGACAAGCAGAGCTCACTACCCTGCTCCACAGCTTCCTCTTACGGGTTCTGTATGATTTCTTTGGCCACCCACAAATTTTAAAAAATCAGCCCAAACAGCCTCAAACAGCTACTGCAGCCAATTAATAAATGTCACTAACAGGAAGGGAGCTCACTGGAAGCCAGGGAAATGGACATCTTTCAAGTAGAACCAACTCTGAGGCCCGGTGGCTGCCTTCTCATGTGGTGACCTCCTGTCTTTGTGTGTTTCCTTCTGCAATGGCAAGCTGGCTGCTAGGTGGATCTTCCCCCTGACAAAAGTGTTAATCCTTATCAGCACCTGCATAGGCTAATACTTACTGATCTCACTGCACAAGTGTTATCTCCCAGGGACAGAAAGCTAGGATCTATCTTGGTTTTATGCAGATGTGTGTTTGCTTCAGGGTAGACTCATGGAGCTGCTTATGACCTCAGTGCAGGTGCTTAGCAATTACCTGGACAGGTTACCAGCCACTGACTGCTGAATGTCCTTCCCCATTTGCAGGAGGTAACTGGTAGCCAACACTTCTACAGTTGACTGTCTTTTGTAGCTTCCTGGAGTGTACATCTGTACCTGTGCCTAGCACAAGGAGATCTAATACATGTTGGCACTAAGGGCTTTGGTCCTGCTGTCCATGAGACTTTGAGCTAATGAGCTTGACAAAGAGCCATAAGGTGTGTCACTATGATAAGTGTGGATCTGTGGAATCTGACTGGGCTTGTTTCTATAAAGTTTTTTGTTGTTTTCCTGAGAACTGATTAGATGTCACGTAGTCAAGGCATGTCATGGGAGGGGGCAACTAGGGAATAGCTGCTCTGAATCAGCTAGGGAATAGAATACGAGAAGCTGAAACACAGGTTAATTTCCTGCTTCCCCTGCCTCTCTGACTGCACCCTTTCTGTGCCACATTTTCCCGCTCTGAAAAGTACTTTGAACTCTACTGGTGAACCTGCCCTCTAAGAGCTAGGGATGGTTACTGTTAACTGAGTCATCAAAAGAGCTTTGGAGATGAACTGTAGTGAACTGTAGGTTAGCACCTATTGACTCTTCTGGTGTCCTCTATGAGCAACTTACATTTTATAATGTGTTGCTGATCCATAGCCCAGCTTGGGCTAAAGGTTCTGCTCTCCCAAGAATTCAAACCGAAATGTCTAAATAAGATTTTTATACTTAAGCATAATTTACATGCAGATGAAATGGGATCCCTTTTCCCAGTCCAGCTAAAAGGGACGTCAGCAAAGTGGCCTCATGTATACCCTATGTGAATCGAAATAAAGAGATAATGATCCTGAATCAATGTGATGGATGTTGAGAGTTTAGACTGGTTATGAACAGTTTGATGTGTTATTTCGATTGGTTTGGTTTGATTCTCCAACTAATTCCCTTGTTTTTAACCCCAAATTAAACATGATAATGAGATGGATGTTGAGAGTGTATAAGCATACACTTATCTGCCTTAAAGATCAAACATTCTGTTGATCATCAGTTTTGTTCCTTCAACAAACTTTTTACCCCAAATTAGAAGTTGTACATTTGTCTATTTTGTAAGTCATATAAACCTCTCTCTCTATGAACAATGCCTCTGCTTTTCCTGTAAGCCCTGAAAGATGCAAAGTGCTAGGTATTAGATAAAATTAAGGAATGTATGGGCTGCATCCACAAAACTTACAGGAACTATACAGGATTTTATTTGTTTTCTTAATGATTGCTGCTCTCTGGATATTACCTTAATTGTATGGTACGGTGATATAAAGCTATAAGGATTTGAACAGTACAAACTCTGAAATGGGAAAAGAAATAGTTTAAAAGGGGATTACAATATATGGAGAAAATTGAAAGACCTGTGGTTTCTAAAAAAAGAACACAGCATAACAACTCTCCAACTAAGAAATGACTGAAGAAACTAGTTATACACAGATGCCATCTACTGGGGATTGACAGAGGCAACAGAGACTAAGTGCAGAGCAAGTTCATAAGTGTCTGATCAAGATAAGCAAGCATCTACCCTCTGATGACCTTGGAAACTGGGTATAAATAGGGGTCATCATCCAGGAATACTGTACAGGAGCCTGCTGAA